CATGTATATCATTAGTAGTACTACATCAGTTATATACATCGTAAGTTTTAATTGTATTGCTTGTTTATATGATCATACTATAATTAAAAGTGCACCTTTTCTTATTGCCTCCGCCCTTGATGGACCTTAATTACTATCAACAAACTGTATGGCATTGCATTGTAATAACAATTTCTGTCGTATCATAGGCAAAAACTATGATCTGAATGGAAAATTAAAAAAATCTCAATGGACCTGAAAATTCTACATTTATATTTATTTAAAGCTCCTTTTTTTTTTTAAATTCCTCCAAGAAAAGAATTTGTTAAAGTAAGATATATAAATAAAAACGAAAAAAAAAAAATTATTAATGGAGAATGGCTCTTTTGGTGACAAAACTAAGACCTGGACGGAAAATGAAATGGTATGAAAAATGAACCTGGAAAATACGGGTAGATTTTTTCATACTGCAGTTATTTAACTTTTGAATCGATTTCCTTCAATGTTGGCTTTTGTTAGAGAAATAAATTAATATTTTATCAAAACTGAAAAATATATTGCAAAATAATTTTTTTAGTCAAAACTCGGACCTGAACGGGACAATGAAAAAGCCTCAATAGGCAAGAAAATACTGGTAAATTTATATAAGCTAGCCCACAAAACAGTTTCATTTTCATGCAAGAAAAAAAATAAATTATTTGTAAAAAAAAGGTTTATTTTTCATAGATTTGATTAAAAGATGTTGTAAACAGGCATGGGCATTTTTATTCAGTTATTCTTCACATTATTGCATAATTATACACAGTTATAAACACAACATACTTAACAATGGAAGCACAACACAATCCGTATTAAACAAGCTTATGGAGTGTCTTGTTTTTCCCATTTATACAAAAAGATGATATCAACTTAATAAATAACATCACAAAATGCTTTAAGAAAAAAAATTTTCAATCTCAGAAATATTTTTTACAGTTTCTACCTCTCTTTTATAGTGTTCGACATAATATGCAAAATCATTTAAGGGTCAATTACTCCTTCAGGAGTCATCAAATAGTTTCGGTCATATAAGCATTTATGTAGATCTTGTATTGCTGATCTTTTTTATGTCTTGAACAGTTTGGACTTTTGGGTGCTCAATGCTCTTCAATTTTGTACTTGTTTGGCTTTATAACAATTTGATCTGAGCGTCACTGATGAGTCTTGTGTAGACGAAACGCGCGTCTGGCGTATAAAATTATAATCCTGGTACCTTTGATAACTAATTTCAACCAATCTAATATACTTTTTGAGATATAAGCACAATGATGATTTTTATAACATCGTCAATCGAGGGCAAAAAGGAGTCATATGATAATTGGTGAAATAGAAAGTAGGTAGATATTGACACTCTGAGCATTTTATAATAATAGGGTCACCGACCGACTTCGTTTTTACGGTAAACATCATTCAAAATGGTGTTGTGGGTGAAAAAAATACCACAAGACGTCGAAATAAGCGTAATCTCGTCGCTTTGTAAGCCTTAAAACGTCAATTTTTAAGTTTATCACTACCAACTAGGTAACAGATCAGTTAATACACCAAAAACAAAGTCGGAGATCCTATGATTATTTTACATCATTAAAACTTTAGGTATCAACAACACTTTAATCTTATTTCGATTTTCAGCTAAAGTTCAACATACAAAAGTTGTATGCAAGATTTTACCGAAATCTGTCACATAGCCAATTTACTGTACCTTGATCTTAAAGATCATTCAACTGTTTCGCTTGTATAAGCATTTTCTTAGATCTTACAACTTTAATTTTGCTTGATTTCGACTGTTTCTTCCTATCTGTTTTGGATAATGAGCAAAACACTAATACTAGTCGAAATCGTCATTTACTGGCAATAACCCCTTAAAGTGTTATTCAATGGTTTTGGTCATATAAGCATTTGCGCAGATCTTGTATTGTTGGTCATTTTTGTTTCTAACAATTTCTACACATCTAGTACAGTTTTTAAGTTGTTAATAAATGAAAATTTATCAAAAATCATCTTAAGGGATCATTTGATAATTTTTTTGAAAACAGGAATACCTTTACGATCTTGACAATTTTTGTGTCCTCAGGTGCATGCTATCCTAGTGTTTTATTTTTTGCCATGGTGGCCATTTGTCGACTAACCGGAAAGAAAAAAACAAAACTTTATACTAAATACCCTATTAGAATCTTTCATCCAAAGTTTGGTTGAAATTGATTCAGTATTTTCAAAGAAGATCTTTGAAAAGTTTACAACGACGACGTACGACGGACGACGATGACGACGGTCGCTTAGTGATGACAATGTGAGCTAATAAGTTTTATGAAAAAGAGCTGCTGAATATTAAAGCGTTATTATATGCTCCTGTTATGCCCTTAAGATCACTGCACTCCAATCATAAGTTTAGGTTTTTGGGGATGGGCATGAGGATTTCAGAATTTAAAAAAAAATATAGAATGGTTTCCTAGGAACTGAAAGTTAATATACTTGTTCAAGAAAGGATGAAAGGGAATATTCTGTCCCATAAAATGTCGGAAATATTTGTGCTGAAACCGGATGAAAAATAAGCCAGCCTAGAAAACGATAAAAGTGAATATTCCTTCAATAAAGAATCCCCCTGTCCCCCCGCTCCATAAAAATCAAATGGTTGTCCCATTAATACAGCTTAAGTAAATAAAAAGTAAAAGAAAACGTCACTAACCTTCAATGTGTACATGGAAGTTAATCTGCGAAAATGATCACATGATTGTGTAAATATACTGAACAGGTAAATAAACGATTCTGGTCTTTGTTTCACAAAAAAATCTTACAACTAAAATTGATCATAAATCATAAACAATGCAGTAAACCAAAGATCAATTTTTGATGTGAAACGCAGGACTGCACGTTAAATGCTTTGATAATAGAAGTCAAATGGTTATATGTGTAAAATTAATGATGTCCTTGTTCGGAAATATTGACACTTAAGACACCAAATTCTTAAAAAAAAAGATTTCATAAAAAGCGTGTTTTCAACTTTAAAAAAAAAAATTCCATTCCAAAATGAAACAAATGAGAAATATTTGGAACAAAATAAGCATGTGTTATTATAAAAAAAAGGAGAAAACTGCCCTTGAATAAGGAAATTTAAGATGAACACTTCATAACAGAAAAACAAATGGATAAAAAAACAACAATAGAATCCAAAAAGGAATTTTACATCTTAACTCTTACTGGAAAAATAAGTAATGAATTGAAAGATGATTAGTTTTATTCAGAATAATCTTCCGTAATCTTGAAAACTTTCAAAAATTTAACAATGGATGATATTAGGGAAATTAAGAAATAAGAGGGAAAATTAATGAAGAATAAAGGGAAAATAAAAAAAAAAGAACGGATGAAGAAAATTACATTAACCAAAAATAGATAAAGAGACAAAAAAAGAAAAGAATATCTCCATATAAAACGTATTAGACAATGTCATAAACTGGGAAGAGAATTGAATTTAGAGATGAAGGAAAACAATACCTAAAATTATTTAAAAAGTAGGCCTGAAGAGCAACAAAATATCGAAATCAAATCCAATGAACAATATATGATAGTAGTTATTGTCCTTAAATGTTAAAGGCATACATTAAACTAACTCCTTTTAAAAATAAAGATGGGAAAAGTACGTGTAGAAATCTTAATTGCAACATTTGACTACGTATGTTCCAATTGTCGAAGTCAAGCCACAATTTGTTTTCTTAATTTTGCCATCAACCAAAGTGTACTTACAATGGTAACCACAACGAGTGCTATATAAGGAGCACGATCTGCTAACCCTTCTGTAGAACCTGAGTTCATTCCAGGGTTTTGGTGGGGTTAGTGTTGCCCTGCCTTATGTTTTCTATGTAGTGTTTTGTAGACTGTTATTTGTTTTTGTCATTTTAGGTTTTTGACATGTTGTTGTAGGCTTTCCCTAATTAATTTTGATTATCCCTCTGTTATCTTCAGCCTTTTGTAGGAAAAACAAAACCCAAAACAAAAGAGCCTTTCCTTGATTTTTGTTTCTTTTTTTTTTGTACTGTTCATGGCGTTTCGTTATTATGTAAGTAATTATAAAAATAAGAAGATGTGGTTTGGTTGCCAATGACACAGCTTTCAACCAGAGACCAAATGACATATAAGTTAACAACTATAGGTCATCGTTAGGCTTTAAACAATGAACAAAACCCATACCGCATAGTATTGCATCAGACTGATTTCTTCGTATTTAGTTTAACCATTAATTATACAGGTATGTCATCATACAATTGTACTTCATTTTACATGATCGTACTGCATCTGTTTACCCTCAACTATTGTTTTGTATTTATATTGTACTTTCTCTGTAAACTTGTATTTAGTTTTAGAGGGATATGTACCTATCTAACATAGTCAACTCATTATAGATACAAGGCTTATAATTCACATAGTTTATCAGCAGGGTAAGTACCCTGATCATGCTTCAGTATATGTGCAGATTTCCTAACGCCGTATCAAATATTATTGCTTTTCTAGAACCTGTGTTTCGTTGTTTTATTTTAAAGGGATCATAGAGTAAAATATGTTTTTACCTTTTAATTACTTCTTTGTTACACTTGTTATTCAATAAATCAAGTTCAACAAGGCGGGAAAGATGAGTGCTCAAACACTTGTTCAAACCCGCAATATGTTAATTTGCCTGCCCAAAGTCACATTTGGTGTCAATTTTTGTCTCGAATTGTACCTATTGTTTTTTTTTCTTACTTAAAGGGTTTAGTGTTGGTTGTAGAACTTGACCGTCTCCGTTAAGATTATTTACAACATTTCAAGACTTGGATGTTTTCGAGCTTATTTTACTGTGCCCACAGTTGTCTGTTCTTGAATAACAAATGTTGACCTCTGTTTATCTTTTGTGTAGTTGTAATTGTCTCATTGATGTATACCTCACCACTTATTTTGTATTTACTCTGTTTTAGGGCAGCATAACCAGGTTTTTTGAAAGACAAAAGACAATACTGATTTCTTAAATTATTATTATATCTTGTTTCATTTTACAGCATAATCACATCTATAAATGTATTTTGATATTGCTCTTATGTTTACGTGTATCTCTTTTTGATCAATGACTTAAGTGGTGTGCTGTCATGCAGCTTTTGCTTAATATTTAGAAATGAACAAAAGAAGTTGGGATACAGTCTTTATGACATTTATCCAACTACAAAATGTATATCAATATAAAGAAAGACATCTTTATACACATCTGATTCACACAAAATAAATTTGGAAGTCTTTCAACTTTGAAGCTAGGTTTTGATTGCTGACATAAAAGGGGTCAGAAGTTTTGAAGAAAAAAAATGTGGAGCAATGAAAAATCAAGTTATATAAAATTACTTTTGGTACTCATTGTGCAATTTGAGTATCAAATGAGTTACGGAAGCTTTATGTATTTCAGGTTGCAACGTTTTCTTCTGTTTCTTCCCTTTCTGTGTTTTTTGTTCTTTCAAACGATTGATATTTTAACTGTAGCATACCCCAAATTTACAAAGCTAATAAAATAAATGACAGATGACTTTAAGCAATAAATTGTTACCTTAATTTCCAATCATAATTATATTGGCAGATATTTTATTCATTAGTACAAGAAGAGAACCCCGTTTATTCAGATATTATTAACTGTTGAAGTTTACCAATAATATCTGTTGTCATAAAACTTTTATTAGACATTATCAGAAATGTTTGAATGATGACGATTTATGAATAGACAAAATATAGATAATGAAATAGGTTACATGAATTGCAATATAAACATTTCGTTTAAGAATAAGAAATATTATAAACATTAGCAAACTGTGTTGCATTTGCCACTAACAGCTGTTTCCTGTCTTTGTCAAAGAAATTTCCCAACGGAGTATTAAGACCATCGATCCTGTTCAGTATCTCTTTGCATTGTTTTCCATCAGGAGATATAACAACTACATTTTTTGAACTGCATCCATTAACAAAAACATTCCCGTTGTTGTCTACGGAAATTCCCTTTGGTAAATCTAAAACGCTTTTGTCTTTAAACTCCCACACTTGTGTTCCGCTGTATAAGCAGCAAGAAACTGTGTTTTTATTCGGATTGGTAAAGAAAATTTTGTCAGCATGCGTTGATACGTATGAAAACTCAGGCAAGACAGTGTTAGGGATTGTGGTTATATTGTAGTCTATACAAGATATCACATGTATGTCTTTGTCTTCTACACAACAGATCAATGATGAACCATTATGTGCAATGCCGTATGGATAACTTGGTAAGTCAATGAATTTTGCCATTTTTCTAGAATGTAAATCAATTATACTGATACCAGGCTTTGTAAATGAATATCCACTTGAAACAGCTACTGTATAGTCATCTAAACACACCACATCAAACGCATTGTACTTTTTAGTAAACGGGATGGTATATTCAACTTTACCTTTGGTATTAATTTTTATTATTTTTTCATTGCTATTTTGGTGATCAGTAACAATTTGTTCACCCTTACTTGTAACGCAACAACCACATACGTATTTACCAGTTGTATTAATCTTTCGTTTGAAATTATGTTCTATATTGTTGATTGATTTCATTGCTTTGGGAACCATGACTTGCATTTGAGCTTGTCTGTTTTTCCTTTTTTTTAGGTAAACATGAGCAGACGGACTTTTATTGACTGTAATGGAACCAATTGTATCAACAAACAGAAAATCTAGTATCTTACTATCTATTGTACTTTTTATGCTTATTTTTGCGTAGTTCTTATCTTCAATACTAGACTGGAGATGTTTTTCGTATTCAGTGGTTTTTGCTTGAATTTCTCTCATACTTAGGAATGCTTGCAGATCTGATGCGTATTTCTTCGTGTGTTTGATTTCTGATTTCATTTGATTTATTTCCTTCGCTTTATCTTGAAATAAAGAGACAATTGAACTAGTTAGGTCGCAGCAATTAAATTCAATTTGGTCAAGTTCTTTTATGAACTTCTCTTCCAGTTTATTTAAGTGCTGGATGACCTGATTTTTTAAGTGACAAACTTGTACAGCTATTTTCTTCTTTTGATCTTTTATACTTTCTATATTGGTCTCTCTTTCTTTACGAATTTGAATGATATCATCAAATAGGTCGTCAAGGTTCTGTTCTAGGTCAATGAAGGACTCCGAAGTCTTTATGTCCCGAACGACCTCCCCAAGTAAAAATATTTCCCCACATTTCCCATGATCCTTTACGCACTTGTTACATATTGGGATTCCATGCTTATTACAGTAAAGTTGATACATCTCATTGTGAAAAACACAATTCTGCTTGATTTCGGTTACAACAGTTGGTAATAATTGGTATTCTGAGATAGGAATAGTTATGTGATATCTTGTTACCTTTAAAGCATTGTGATGTTCCCTACAATCAGAACACAATGGTTCCTCACACTCATTACACCAGTGGGATGACGGTGAAGTTTGGTGTCGATGATCGCATACAGCGCACACTGATTTACATGTAGCCATTGTCGATACTTCTGTCAAAATAAATAACACGATATGTTATAAATGTATATTTGTACTTTCTAAGAAAGGTTTGCATATCTTAACTATACTAACAAACTCAATTATAGTAAGTAGATTGTAGTAACTACAATTTTGTAACATTTGATTTAGATTAATGATATACATTGAAATAACATTTTAATTATACTATGAAAATTATTAAACACGACAGGAGCTGTATGACGAAAAACAGTTCGAAAAAGAATAGCAATTCAAGCTTAGATCAATTTTGCCTGATCATGAGGAAGTTGGAACCTTGATTGCAAATAAGATAATTTCTGAATTCATCAAAGAAGAATTTAATAAAAGTATGTTGTTAATCATATCTATACCGAAAGACTAATCACTAAGCCGATAATATCATCGGGACTAGCAGTCAACCTGCATAGATACCAGTTGTAGTAAATGAAAATAACACTTATTAATTTTCATGGTTCCTAATTATATGCGCTTTTCTCTGGATTGAGCTTAATCAGGAATGCTCTGGATCGAACGCTTTTAGCCCTTAACACAACATGAGCAATATGACTAAAAGTGACAATAAAAAAAAAGAATACAATGTAGTCAATTCCAACTTACAGTTAAACTAAACGCATGTCAACGACGCATGCACATATGTCATTTGCTGACTCCTATTTTCGCGTTTCCTAGAAAGCCCGAGTTATCTATATTTAAGTCAACGCGGTCAAAATGGAAATGTATAATGTCAACATGAGGAAACGTGCTTTTACTTTGTGTCAGATTAGTCATTAGTTAACGATCGTGTACTACAGATTTTGCACATTTATCTGTACATGAACTTGACAGTAAACGTATGTTTTTTCTTGGTGTTAACTATATTTTTGAAAATATTAATATGTGTATTCTATTTTGGGGAATATTTTTTACAATACAGTTCTGAGTTACAGAGACAGCTCGACTAAAACTGTTATTTTATTTATGCTATTGCATCCATGCCAGAATTTTAAACAGACTTTTGTTAATGACTGCCAACAAACATTTGGGTCAACGTGAACCAAAAATGCTCAAATTTATGAAAAGAATTAGCTCAATTGTTAGGTACTTAGACCACGTCGATGAAATAACTGTAAATAGAAGGGGAAAATATCAATTTTAATATTTTTACAATAAAGGAATTATCAAAACAAATATCTTATCATACATGCACATAATGGCTTAGTCTATTAATAGAAAAATTAATTGTGTTATTCAGTGGTGATGTGATGAATCAAAGCATCCAGGGTGCAATGACTAACTGCTTTTACATTTAGTACAAGTAGTAAACGTGCGTTTACTGGCAATTGAATTAGAAAACGATACGTGTTAACGCGAAAGTAAACGTGAAAGTTAAAGCGCGTTGACAGTTTGTATCTATTAAAATTTTGAGGTAAGTGCCGAATAAACGTGTCGTTTACACAAAGTGCACGTAAGTTAACGCTGCCTTAATGTTTTTCCGGTCGTTTACATGTTATGCTTTGCCTGCACTTAACTGTGAATCAACTTAGAAAGTTTAAAATAGTTTTTTAATTCTTCAATTTGGTTAAAGGTTTTGTTAATCTATTCTAATTTTTTTCAAAAATTCCAAAATTGCAAAATTATTGATAAAAATCATCAATTAATGGCAATAGCTTGGTCATTTTGGCATATTTGTAGATCTTATATGGCTATTATATTTTTCTAATCTACAATTTCTACTTGTTTATCGTAGTTTTCAAGTTAATTTACAAAAACACAATATTTGTAAAAAAAAAAAAAAAATTGTCATTAAAGGACAATAACTCCTTTATGTGTCAACTTTTTATTTTAATTACTTAATATTAATGATTTTTTATTTGCCAGTGTAAAAAGTTCCAAAACAATTTTGTGGAACGAGTCTTTTCTACACCATTGGTCTGCTTTAATGATAACAACGAACGTGTTACAAAACCAGATGTCGTGCACATGTTAACGAAAACCATTTTGACAGCAGACGGATAATTGTCTATGTTTTAACTCAATCTCGTCAAGATTTGTGTCATTAAATGTTGATACTTTCAAAAGTGTGTTGGAGCATTACTGTTAATGGTATAAAAAGTAAAAAAAAATGATATTGTATCAAATGATTATAAAATTTTAAACATTCAATATCAAATAAGGAAATATAGGGTTTACGTCAATGAGACACTAAACGGCGGACTTCATATCTGAATCAAAGACATGAAGAGGTCAACATACGATAAACAACAAATAAATATATCCTTAAAATCAATCTTGTCAAGAGTGAAGTAATATGTGTGTCTTTTTTTTTTTTTACTTTCAAAATTTCGTTGGAGCATTATTGTTCACTTGTAATTAAGAAAATGACATTGTAACATAAAAAAATAAAGAAAATGTGGGGTATGCATCAATGACCCACGGCGGACTTGACATCGGAATCAAAGACATCAAGTGGTCAACATACGGGTAACAACAAGTGAATTTGTCCTTAAAATTAGGCTAGCTCTAGATATCCCGAATATAGAAAAATAATGAACCAATGCAATCAATGTGATATGTATATGCCTGTCCAACGTCATTGGTGATATTTTAATACCACGAGATGTTACGAGATGAATCAAATCGCACATGTGTACGGTAAAGGTCTTTTTCGAATTGAGTCATTGTAATGCCAAGATCAAGTCAACACTTTCAATTTAAGTAAATATACGAGTAAAAATCGAGAAAAATACAAGAATAATAACAAACAAACCTTCAATTTTAACAAGTTGTGTAGTTAGGATAACAGTGAGATAAAGTACAAATATTCATATTGATCATATGAGGAACAGAATGGTTTTACACTTTGCAACTGGTATAAATTTATTTTGTATTTACATTGTATCATAGGTCAAATTTATTTGTTCAGTGTATGTTCACTGGTGTTAATATGTCCTTTGATTGAGTTAAGCTATTTCAGTTGAAATTTTATAGTGTGTCTTTCTATGTTGTGATGTTACACTATTGTTTCAGAAATAAGATGAAGGTTTGGTACCATTAAAACGTTTAAACCCGCTGCATTTGTTTGCACCTGTCCTAAGTCAGGAATCTGATGTTCAGTAGTTGTCGTTTGTTGATGTGGTTCATAAGTGTGTCTCGTTTCTCGTTTTTTATATAGATTAGACCGTTGGTTTTCCCGTTTGAATGGTTTTACACTAGTAATTTTTGGGGCCCTTTTTAGCTTACTGTTCAGTGTGATCCAAGGCTCCGTGTTGAAGACCGTACTGTGACCTATAATGGTTTACTTTTATAAATTTTTACTTGGACGGAGAGTTGTCTCATTGGCACTCATACCACATCTTCTTATATCTATAAGATAGATCGATAAGATAACTTATTTTTATTATAATTCAAGGTCAAATTGAATGTTCACATACTTTCGTTTATGACATGAAAAGATTATATTAATCAAACTGTTTGTATTGGATCTATAGGTTTAATTACAGATTGATATACATTCTACAGGTATTTTTATTGGATAAACACTAATAAGGTGTATAAAAACATAACTGTCAAATTATAATACTATTTGACATTATTAACAATATACGTATATGTATCAAACTTTGTAATGAAGGTACAAAAATCAATTCCAAAAAACGTCAGATTTTTGTTGAACGAACATTTGCATATTTTACTTATAACAATTTATACAAAAGCATGATATTATTTTTTAATTGGTAAAATGCAAACCACGAAGAGGCGGATTGTTTGTATTCATGAACGAAATAATGTCTTTATGCATGTTTTGACATGAACAAATATTTTTTTTAATAATTGTACTATTATAACAAGAAAATATAATGCAAAGGTGACAAAAGGCAAACAAACCTTAAATTTAAAGGAGTGAGAGTACATGCATACAAGATATCAATGTTTGTACTATTGATCATATGACAAATATATATATAGATAACCTTATAATACTAGTCATACGATTGATAAGTTAACTTCATATCTTTCTATGTCAAGGTGAATTTGAATGTTCACTTTTTTTCAAATTATTTTCCAACGACCAAAATACTCTTTATATAGCAAATACTGCATACTTGTTTTACATTTTACATGGCATCAAACCTTTTTCTAAATAGTTGTGCGACAGGCAAAGTCGGATGACTGGTAAGTTGAGAAGAATAGAACAGTAACTATTCACGTGATCAAGGTGACTAAATCCAAAGTTTGCTTGTATCAGTTTTAAATAGTTTTTAAATGTTTGACAGTTCCTGGTGAAGTTAAATCCAGAGACGCGCTTTCGGCGCAGGAAGTAAAGTGTTTATTTCATTTTTACACCACCCAATGAAACGTTTTACCAAATTTCTATTAACATGAACCACAAGACGGGTAACAACTATGAAGGAAAATTTTCAACACCTCCGGAGCACCTGGGATCAGCTCATTCAGTTTGTCAACAAATTATATTCTATGAAGATGATGCTCTATCACTAAATAATTTAATATTTGGTGTCAATGTTGAACGCATCTATCCCATCGAACTTGAGACAAAGGTAAGTCTGCCTCATATCTTGACTTACATCTATAAATTGACAAACAGGGTCGGTTGAAAACAAAATTTTACGACAAAACAGTTGATTTCAGCTTTCCAATTGTGAACTTTCCATTTCTATGTAGCTACATTCCGTCTGTATACGGAGTATATATCTCCCAATTCACACGATATTCCGGGGCTTGTTTTTCCTATCATGATTTCCTAGATAGAGGGTTGCTGCAAAAGGAAGCTATTAAACCAAGAGTTCCAAGTGGTAAAGTTAAAAACATTCCTTTGTAAATATAACCCTTCCGGAGCACCTAAGATCACCCCAATTTTTGGTGGGGTTCATGTTGCTCAGTCTTCTGTTTTCTATGTTGTTTTTTGTGTACTGTTATTTGTCTGTTTGTTTTTCTCTTTTAGTCATAGCGCTGTCAGTTTATTTTCGACTTATGAGTTTAAATTGGTATCTT